TTAAGCATTTGCAAAGTTTCAGATCCTCAGACTGCCCGTCAAAACTAATTGTAAGCATGTTTGAACCTAAATTTGCGGCAGTTCGAACCACGACTGAGACGATTCTAAAAAATGTTTTAGCTCAAGAGGTTCAATCCCAATTAGAAATTGACCTTCGAAAAGCAAATTTGGTCAGCATCAAAATCGATTCGTCGAATCATAAAGAAATTAAAGTTGTGCCCTTAATAGTAAGATATTTTGATGAAGAAAATGCCGTCCAAGTAAAATTACTTCAGCTACTTGACTTACCTGGTGAAACATCAGAGCAGTTAAAAGATTACGTGGTGTATGTTTTGAATTACCATAATCTACTACAAAAATGCATCGGAATGTCTGCTAATAATACAAATACAAATTTTGGTGGAATGAGAAGAAAAGGAGTGAACAAGCTATTCAGCAAATTAAATGCTTCTCGTGATAAACCCGTGATTGGAATTGGTTGTGTGGCACACATTTTTAATAACTGTTTACAAAATGCAAAGGACGTCTTACCCATAGACATCGAGGTTATTGCGGTCAAGATTTTTAAGTATTTCTATATTTTTACAGTCAGAGTGGAGAAACTAAAGCAGTTTTGCGATTTTGTTGATATCGAGTACAAAAAAATGTTGTCGTTTTCAAAAACAAGATTTTTGAGCCTAATGCCAACCATTGAAGGAATTATACAAATGTTGGAACCCTTGAAAGCATATTTTTTATCGATTGATAATTGTTCAACAGTTCTAAAACAGTTTTTTCAAAACCCAATAAGTGAAGCATGGATGTGGTTTGTGCATAAAATTGCGTGTATCTTCCACAAAGTGATTTTAGATGTAGAAGGTGACAAAATATGCGTAACGGAAGCCGCTTTGGAGAATTTCGAACTCATAAATAAGCTTCAAAATCGGTTAAATGAGTTATTTTTACCGCTTAAAGTAAGAGAATCACTTTCAAAACTTGAAAATATGGAAGACCTTGACCTTAGTGTGAACTATCGGGATATCTTTATCACGCATGTCAAGCAGTTCTATTCAAATAGTGTAACATATTTGAAAAACTGGAGTGAAAATTTAAGTGAACTAAAGCTACTCGGATGGGTTAACTTGAAAAAACAAGTTTCTTGGGCTGAAATTGTATCGTCGTTTGAGGCTTTCAAAGACTACATAGGTCCGATATTGAATCAGGATGAACTGTTTGATGAAGTTAGTCTAATACGAACCTACGTTGCGGAAGATAAAATCGCAGACTGGAATTCGAAAAATATTTCTACCGAAGATCGATGACTCGAAATCTTCCAAAAGAGTTTGTTGTTTTTTCTGCCTAGGATCAGTGCGTCGATTGAGCGGTTGTTTTCAAATATTAATAACTATTGGAGTCCCAACAAATCACAGTTGAAAATATCTACTCTGGAAGCCATCATGCAAGTCTACACAAACTTCAAAGTTTCGTGCAATGAAATGTTTCGGTTCTTAAAGAGTAAACCACAACTTCTGAAGGAAATTCATAGTTCCAAAAAGAACGACTGGTACCAAAAAGATGATCAAGCTGTTCAGGAAGAAACGTCGAAAGAAAATTAACTATTAAAATTTATCATACATTTTTTATGTACGTATGTTTGAATAAAAAAATCGTTCTTATCATTGTTTCATTAAATATTCGTAAAATTTTGACCAGAAAAATTTCCTAGGGCACTAGCAGTGTACATATTTTCTTAAAAATTATAAATGTACTTTTTTTTTGTTGAAAAATTATGGTCACCCTAGTTATACTGGACATGTGAAAAATATTGAAAAACCAGGTAGAAATAATAAATTTATTGATGAAAAAAGTTAGATATACTTCTAGAGATTGAGGAAAATACGCATAAGACAACTCGAGAACTTGCCGCCATCAATGATGTAAGTAAATCATCTATTTTGAGAGTTTTACATAAAGAAAAATACCACCCTTACAGAGTTCAGTTGGTTCAGGAGGTAAATGAAGTTGATCCTGATAGAAGGAAAGAATTCTGTGAAATTATGATGGACAGAATGAACGCAGATTTGCAGTTCATAAACAAAATAGTTTTTTTTCTGATTAAGCGACGTTTCATTTAAACGGAACGGTTAACAAACGGAACTGTAGATATTGGAGCAGAGAAAATCCTCACTGAGTGTGTGAGACTTACACGCAATATCCTAAAAAATTAACGATTGGGCTGGTATTATTAACAATAAAATTATTAGTCCTTATTTTTTTGAGGGCGCAGTTGATGATGAGGTTTATCTAGATTTTTTGACTAACTTTTTAGTGCCTACATTACGAAGATTTTTTCCTAATGTTAATCATCCAAATTAGATAGATGGACCTTTTTACTACCAACAAGGTGGAGCTTTATTGCATTTTGCACTTATAATTAAAAATTATTTAAACGAGGTTTTTCCCAATAGGTGGATTGAAAGACGTTGAACAATCGAATGGCCGGCTAGATCCCTCGATTTGACTCCCGGAATAACTCCCGGAGTCGTACAGAATGTTGTACGAGAATTCCAAAATCGCCTCGCGTATTGTCAAAAAGTAAATAGTGGTCATTTTGAACATGTAATTTAATTGTGAAGTACATTGAAAAATACGTTCTGAATATTATGTGCCATTATTATTTTCATTCAACCTAAAGTTTTGTGGTAAAGACATTATCAAAGTTTTACATTTTAAAAATCAATTTTTCAGGTTTATATTGCACGAAACTTAAAAAAACTTAATATTACTGAACAGAGTACTAAAATCTCTTTCTAACAAGGTGCTACACCACCCCCTTTGCTATTTAAAATTTTCAAGGGTTTGCTTATAATTCAAAGGCGGTGCTGGAGGGGATATTATTTTCATACTGTAAATTGTCAATTTAAGAATAAAAATCGACCTGTTTCAGGTTTTTTTCACATAGTATATAATAACGCTAAAAATGAATTTATTCCCTATATATATGGTACAGTTTTCTACCGTGCGATCGCTGTTTTGGTGTTTTTTCGAAGTTTTTTTGAAAAAAAGAACATATTTTCTCTCCTACACAATCATCATCATCATCATCTTGGTGCTACAGCCCTTAGAGGGCCTCGACCTTCTCAAGCTTTCTACGCCATTCTGTTCTGTCCCTTGCTTGAATTTTTCAGTTGCCGAATCCGATCTTCTCCGCATCTTGTGTTACCCCATCCATCCACCTCAGCTTTGGTCTACCCCGTCGTCTCATTCCCACAGGTTGCGCTGTTTTATCTTTTTTATCATGTTCGATTCAGGGGCCCGGGCTACATGTCCTGCCCACTGCAGGCGGTTTCGCTTAATTATAGTGGTAATATCTTTACCACCAAACGTATGCTTGTAGATATTCTGCAGTTCGAAGTTATATCTACGCCTCCATATATCGTTCTCACAGACCGCTCCAAATATCTTGCGTAGCACCTTTCTTTCAAAAATGGATAGAGCGGATTCATCTGTTTTCGTTAGCGTCCATGCCTCTGATCCGTATGTGAGAACGGGGACTATCAGTGTTCTATACAGCCTTATACGAGTTTTTTGAGACATACGTTTGTTAGCTAAGTACTTTGATAGACCATAATAACACCTGTTTGCAATTATTATTCGCCTTTTTATTTCCTCAGATGTATTATTATTGGGGTTAACCGATGTCCCTAGATATATGAACTCATTGACTGCTTCGAAGTTTTGGTCATTGATGATTAAATTTGTGTCAACATTTCCAGCTCTTGTGTTTGTGTTAGTCGCCATGAATTTGGTTTTATTTTGATTTCTCCTACACAATACTGTCAGTTTATTCAACAAACATATTTTGTAACCATTATGGTTCATCAAGATATGATCTTCAACTTTAGCAGTCATTTTGAGAACCATTTTAAAAAAGTTATAATGAATTCTCAGAAAGAAAGGTTTAAGATTTCTCAACACCGAATTTTTGAATACAGTATCTACCACATGGATACAGTTAATGTGTCTGTTATAACTGGTATTTCTATTTATAAATCGCACTACATTTTGAGGGACAATAAAGATAATCTTTCAGTTGAAACTAACTTGATGGTGTACGAGTCATCAATACCCGTAAAAAATGCTAAGTACAAAGACGTAATGCTACCAACTACATTCCAGCAAACTAAATGGAGTTTTACCAATCCCTTAAATGTGATGATGTTGGTAATGATAACCATGATTCCCTAATTTTAGGCACAGATGACGACGACCAAGCAGACGAATAGACTGATTTTCTGTTTGAATATAAAAGAAAAAAGATTTTTTTGTTAATTTTTAATAATAATAAACAGATTTTGCAGTACCTTTATTTTATTGTCCAATAATAACATTAATACTATTTTTTTATAATTTTGGTGCAAGAGAGGGGCAGCTTCAAATTGTTTTGTATTTTTTCTGCAAAAAGAAGCTTATATAAATAAAGGAAAAAGTTTGCAGGTGTACCAATACGATTATCTTTTAACTAAACTGCTTTATTATGTAATTAATACATGAGTAAATTTTTGTAAAACATTTTTTCTATTTTCCCAAAAGTTACTATAAATGGAGCTGCCCCCTTCTTGCAGCAAGGTTGCAACAATTGTTCTTATTTGGTATAATTAGAGTCGGTTCATTGATTTTTTTTTCTTTTTTATAATTATTAAACAGGATTAAACAGAATATTCAATGATGTAGGAAGAAAACAAGTTTCTTGGTTAGAAAACATTCGTGAATGGACTCAAATACCAAATGCAGGACAATTATTCCCTATTGTAGAAGATCGAGAAGCCTTCGCAATGGTGATCGGCAACGTCGGATAATTCTGATATGGCACGCGAAGAAGAAGATTCAATAATACATAATACCATATTGGTTAAACTTCTCTACTTCTCAATCCATTCAACACACCTTGATATAATTGGTAGTGTTCGATGAAAATAAAGAATAAGTTATAATTGTAATATAAATTTTAGGTTTCTTTTAATAATTTTATTGATATTAAATATAAATAAAATAATACATAATCAGACTATTTTATAATAATTTATGAAATTTTTTGGCAGTTGTTATAATTATAACATTTTAAACAATGTTAAAACTCTAGTTTATAACACACTACATACTTAACAAGGAACATACTGGTTAAAATTTCAGTCTTATATTTTTTTAATTAGTTTTACATCCTTTGACATAGTCCATATTATCATCTGCTGCACAATGATCCCAGTATGATGACCAGGCATCGTAGCCTATCCCGGAAAGATCAAGTGTGTCTGAAAATATCTTTAAAGCACAATTTATGTCATCCGTAATATGATCGTCTCTGAAATCACTGCATGTGGCGTTACATTCTCTCCCTGGGGTACTGTACGGCGAACACCTAAAAAACAATCATAATATTGAAAGTGTATTCTAAAATTATACAGTTAGAGAAGTAACAATACGAAATATTATTTATTGACAAAAAAATGTTAGTTTACACTTTTTGTAAAGTTTAAACAATGGGAAAATTAGAGTATCTGAATAATACCAAAGCTCGTTTATAAAAATATTTGTAAAGGATCATGATGAAATATGAATAGTTAGATGCCGAAATACGAAATGGAAGATGTAAATGATCAGAATTATAAACTAAGAAGAAACAGAAGTTTATATCGAATCATACTCCAAATTTAAAAGGCATGTTCAGCAAATTTGAATGAGTTTAATATTCTTGATGAAACACCCTGTATATTTTCATGTTTTCAAAAGCTCCTTAACAACCTGATTTCAACGAACTATATCATGTAGGGTCTATTATGAATAATATAGGGTGAAATTTTGAAATTAAGTATTTTCTTCAAGACAATGAATTCATAGAATACCCGAGGTAATTGATTGGATTATATTAAAATAAATGCTCAACATGTTCTCCACCTTATTGTTGGCAATAACACAGTCTCCTATAAAACTCGTTCCGATCTTTGTTTAAAGTTTGAGGTAAAATATTCCGTATTTCTGTAGTTATCCTTACTTTTTGAGGTCTTCAATGATATTTGATTGTGTTGCATATACTTTGTTCTTGAGATAACCCCACAAAAAAATTAAAAGATCTGGCGACCTAGCTGGCCGCTCAATAGTCCCCTTCATCAAATCCACTTATTGAAGAAGATTTCATTCAAGTAATTTCTCACCATTAAAGCATAATGGGGTGTTGCACCGTCCTGCTGAATCCAGCCAGTTTCATGCGGTAGGGTCGGATCTATTGATTGGGATATAAGTTAGCCAACTAAGGAAGAACATCGTCTCTTAGCATGTTGAAATATTTCCCGCTGTCAAATTATCATTTATAAATATAGGACCAATAATATGATCTCCTATAATACCTGCCCAAACATTCAACTTTTGATAATACTGAGTGTGTGTCTCACGCATCCAATCAGGATTCTCCACTGACGAATATCTACAGTTTTGTCAGTTTACCTCTCCGTTTAATGTAAATTTTGATTAGTCAGAGAAAAGAATTATGCCAAGAGCTATTTCATTTGTTAATTTTATCCCTCATTCTTTTGCAGAAATCCATTCTACAATCCGGATCATCTTCTGTTAGCTCCTACACAAATGTCAATTTATATGGATGAAGTTTTCTTCGTGGAGACACCTTAGGACAGTTGTATGACTCACATTATTTTGACATGCAGTTTGACGTGAACTTGACATTGCATTCTCTGCGACACTTAACAAAATATCCACTTTCACTTCATCTTCAATGAAGTTGGATTTTCTTTTTAATAGTTTGACATATTAAAATTATGTTTGGCAAATTATGTTGCAGCCAGCTCCCAATACGTCGGCCTAAAAATGAATATGAAAATAACAAAAATGATGACAAACACAGATGACCCCAGATATATAACTATAAACTGCAGTAAGATAGAACAAATCCAGGAATATATCTACCTAGGCCAAATACTGAGACTTGACAAAGAGAACCAAAGTTCGAAAATTACTAGAAGAGCAAGACTAGCATGGGCAGGCTTTGGAAAACTTAGTTGGATACTTAAGAACCGTAAAATACCTTAATACTTGAGGAGCAAAGTGTTTAACCAATACATCCTTCCTATCATGACATGTGGATGTCAAACCTGGACCCTAACCAAGGCAAACATGAATAAACTATCCACAACAGAAAGAACAGTGGAAAGAGTAATGTTAGGTATACGACTGTCAGATAAAAAAGGAACGACTGAGTAAGATCCAAAACAAAAGTCGAGGACATAACAACGAAAATTGCCAAACTTAAATGGAGCTTCGCGGGCCACACTACTAGACAGAAAGACCAACGTTGAAATACTACAAGACAACATTTGGGACCTTACGAAAGTAAACGACCAAGAAGATGACCACAGATGAGATGGGTTGATGACATTAAAAGAATAGCCGGAACAAATTGGAAATATGTTGCTCAGGATAGAGACCGATGGAAGGAGTTGGGAGAGGCCTATGTCCAAACATGGACAACAGAAAACTAAGAAGAAGAAGGTAAAAGCACTTTCAAACCTTAAAGATTCTACTACTGGACCCGATATCATCCCAACCATATTTCCAAAACATCTTCCTGAATCAGCCAAATATCATTAACTTGATATATTTAATTTCACATGAAGGCAAGAGTGTTCCATTTAATATGGACTAAATTCTATGTTTTTGATTTTTTAATATAATCTACTACTTAACAAATTGAGTACTACAAGAATCTATTATTAAATTGATGGGTTCAACCGTTACTTGATGAAAATTCATTTTGTCTATTATTAGTTTTTCCTATTACGGTTAATGATACTTTGAAAAACAGAAAAACCTTTAAAAAGCACGACTCTTTGTTGACAATTTAGTAGTATTTACAAAAGGAAATATTCTTGATAGTGTGACAAAATGTTTACAAAACTCTTTAAATAAACTGAACACTTGGTCTCGAAACATTTGTTTTGAATTTTCAACTACAAAAACAAGAGTCACGGCTTTTACATAAGCAATAAATGTAGATACCATGCCGAATATTATGTTACGCGAAAAACAAATAACAACCGATCATCATATCTAATTTTTAGAAATAAATTTGGACGACAATAGATAAAGAAATTATATTTAATTTACCATATGAAATTTAATATTTTAAAAACAATATCCAACAGGAAATACAGTATTATTGGTACATATACAAATCACCAATCAGGTCTAAACTGGAATCATCGCTTATTTCTCTGCCACAAAGTCTATTTTTAAATCCCTAAATAAAAGCAACGTCTGGGTAAGATCAAGTAAGAACTCAGAAATAAACACTTAAAGAACATGGTAGCTTGGGCCGTGCCAGAAAGAGATAGATCCACAATCAATTACGACGGTAAATGGAAAAAAAACAAACAATTCCTCTAAAAAATCACTGAATGGGAAGGAAGCACAAGGAAGCAAAATGAACAAGAAATAAAATAATATTCGTTTTGCTAAAACCGTTTTCTTATTTGTGATATTTCAGCTTTTATCAAATTTATTGGGATGAACAATAAGTTATAATATAAACACTTCCAGTCTTCTGAAAGTCGCTTTTCCTTCTATGTTGGACATCATTTTCAGAATACAATTTTTGTAATAAGTAAAAAGTGTTTTTTTATTGCAATGGAAACAAAATAAATAGAAATTGAAAAATATCGTAATATAAGAAAACCTAAACTTTGCTGTTGCTCTTGAGGAATCATGTTAACAATGTCAGTGTATGTGTTAATTACAAAAGAATACAGATAAAATAAGAGTATGTATCCTTTGTTATAAATGAGGCCTTGGGTAAATTACCTAAGGTATTATCGGTCAATTGAAGAGTAGCACTGGTCATGTTAACTTCCTTGAATATCTTTAATCAAAGACATAGTAATATGTATTCGATTGATCCAAACTGCGCTAGCTGTATAAACATGGACTATTAATATTATTATATAGTATATTAAAGTATAATTGAGCTCGAAATAGAGCACGTGTTTTAAAGACCAGTTACCAACGAATACTTGACCCTATTTTTTTTTGGTATAAACTTTGGTATAAATTTGGTATAAATTTTACCTGAAATCAGGTAATATTACTACAAAAAATTGAAATAAGAGCAAATAATGTAAAATGGTTAAATTTGTAATGTACATTTAGTATACCTTTCGTTATTATGAAAACGAATATACAAAAATTAATTTGCGATCTGTCACATCAGAATAATTGATATTCTTCTTCTTCAAGTGCTCTCTCCGCTACGGAGCTTGGCAATAATTTCTATTCCTATCTTTGAAGCAGTTGCTCTAAATAATTGGTTAGATGTGCACTAGAACCAGTCTCTTAAATTGCACAGCCAAGATATACGTCATCTCCCCACGCTTTGTTTGCCCTGAATCTTTCCTTGGATAATTAACTGGAGCAAACGGTACTTTTTCCTTCTCATCACATGACCAAGATATTTCAACTTTCTTCTCTTGATGGTGATCAACAGCTCTCGTTCTTTGTTCATTCTTCGAAGAACTAAACTATTTGTTATTTTAATTACTATTTATAACTGGGAATAAGCCACAATTAAAGATAAAAATACGTTTATTGACGTTTCAATTTCCAATTCGGAAATCGTTCTCAAAATACAAATAGTCTATTTGTATTTTGAGAACGATTTCCGAATTGGAAATTGAAACGTCAATAAACGTATTTTTATCTTTAATTGTGGCTTATTCCCAGTTATAAATAGTAATTAATTTACAATTCCACAAGAAAATAGCTTCAGAACAATATTTGTTATTTTGTCTGTCCAAGGTATTTTTAAAATTCTTCTATATATACACATTTCGAAGGCCTCTAGTTTATCGGTTTCTAGTTTATATAAACAATTCACAGGAACTGCATTTCTGGATGTAAGCAAGGCATTTGATAGAGTCTGGCACAAGGGACTATTATACAAAATGAAAAGATACGGGTACAGCGGAGCAATGACAAGACTAATCTCTTCGTACTTGAGCAACCGGAGTTTCAGAGTCCGGATAGGACAAGTCCTGTCCGCACTCAGGAACCCGGAGGCTAGAGTGCCACAGGGAGCGGTACTGTCACCTTTGCTGTACACGATATACACAGCAGACATACCTAGAATACCAGGTACATTATTAAGTCTCTATGCCGATGACACAGCGATAGCGGCCAAACATAGAAACGTAGACATAGCGGTCACCAATCTACAATCAGCACTAGACGACATAGAAGAATGGAGTCTAAAGTGGAAATTAGCAATAAACTCCGATAAGACGCAAGCTATACTTTTTAAAAAGGGGCACCAACAACCGGAAGAACAGGTAACTGTGCAGGATAATCCCATCGAGTGGA